CAGAAGGAAAAAAAAACTCGGAGGGGGGGGGGTGCAGGGCAGTTTGAAACTAACTAACTCGCTCGGCCGGGGTTTGTTTCTTCGAGAATAAACTAACTTTAGGTGGAGGAATTTGTTTTTCCTACAAAAAACTAACTCTGGGGGGAGGGGTTTGTTTTTCCTAGGAAAAACAAACTCCGAAGGGGGGGGGGGCAGGGGAGTTTGTTTTTCCTACAAAAAACAAACTCTAGGGGCGGGAGGGGGAGTTTGTTTCAGTGGGGAGAAACAAACTCCCATGGGAGAAGTTTGTTTGTTTAAGTGACGCCAGGGGGCGGCGCGGAGGTGCAGGGGGGGTTGATTTTCCTACAAAAAACAAACTCTGGGGGGAGGGGTTGTTTGTCTAAACAAAACTGTGGGGGGAAGGGGTTTGTTTTTCTTAGAAAAAAAAAAACTCTGGGGGGGAGGGGTTTTGTTTTTCTTAGGAAAAAAACAAACGCCGTGGGGGGGCGGGGGGGGGGTGGAGCAGGGGAGTTTGTTTTTCCCTACAAAAAACTAACCTCTGGGGGGAGGGGTGGGTTTTCCTAGGAAAAACAAACTGGGGGGGGGGGGGGCAGGGGAACCAGTTTGTTTTTCCTACAAAAAACAAACTCTGGGGGGAGGGGTTTGTTTTCAGAAGTAAAAACAAACTCCGGAGGGGAGGGGGGGGGGGGAGGGGAGTTTTTGTTTCCTACAAAAATTGAACAGTATCCTTGCATCCCTGTTGCGTGGTACCCCGCTGCGTATAAGGCTCATTGGTGCTTTGCTGCCACACCACTCCATCCGGCTTATACAACACATACATCCTGTCACAAAGCTACACCAAAGCTCTGAATCTTCAATGGGGCAAACCAAACTTTGAGCAGTAGAGACAGACCCACCAACCGTGAAACCGGTGGCCACGCTGCAGCTGCAATGCTTTTCTGAGCTCCGGCAACGACTGTGCAGTTGGTTTCCAGAAGAGCGAGACGCGGCCTAATTATGGGGTCCTGGGCGCTCAGCTTTGTTAAGTAAGTAATCTGGTCAAAGCTCGCTTTAACTATGTCGAGGGTCTTCAGGCCAGAATTTTATGCTAGACACCAAACTTTTTTGCGCCAAGCCCCATAACATGTCCAGAGGCGGGTGACCTTGAACCACTATTGACTCAACAAGACTACCCTAAAGCCGAGAATACTGGACCCAAACTTTCACGAGCTTAAGTCCTACCCACGACCACCCCGCCTGCCGCGCCCCCCGCTTCGCTTGGGGTTTGGCTTTGCCTTGGGAGCCTGCTTGGCTTTGGCTCCCGGTTTCGCTTTCGCCTTTCCCTTTGGGGCAGGACTCGCGGAACTAGAACCCGCGGCTTCCGCAGATGCATCCTTCGGCACTGCAGTTTCAGCCGAATTAAGTGTCGCATTCAGAGCCGCAACAGCCTTCTCGCAATCTTTCTTGGTGGGCCTCGGCTCGTTGATGACATTGCGACCGTCTGCTGCTAGGATCTGCTGCTAGGAATTCAGGTCCGGGTGTATTTTATGAGGTTGTCGCCTACGCAGGAGGCAGCAGCAGTGCACACCAGCTGAGTTTTCAAGCTTCATTGTCTAGCATTCAGGGCTTAAGGCCTGTTAAGCAATTTGGGAGCTAAGTGTTTAGAGGTTTTAGGGTTTGGGGGCAAAAATTATCCAAAGAGCACATTGACGTCGGCATCGATGGGATGGTGCTGAGCATGCATATCCCAAGCCCACTCGACCACCTCCCAAAGGGCAGCCGCTTCGCTGAGCTTCCGCTCAGGTCCTTCCCACGTGCACGCCCTCGACTTGTTGAACACTTTGGGCTCTTTGCCGGCGGAAAGCACTGCACCTGCGGCTTGAGCACTCATAGGGTTTGTAAAGTTTGGGATATGGAAAGCTTTGGTTGAACCCAAAAACTATCAACGGCTTAAAAAGCGCGACTGAGAAACTGTCCACTGGGTAAAACGCCTGGTAGCGCTTGAGGATCGGGTGTCGTGTGATGTAGCTTCCTGGCGTGTTGGGCACCATGTCCTGCAAACAGGGTGGGGCTTTAGTATTTAGGATTAAAGTTTTACTTTGGGAACCGGGCTTCGGATTTGGAGTTCAAGTTAATTTCAAGTGTTTACTTCGAGAGTTAGGGCGTTTGGGGATCGATGTAAACCTATACTAGGCTGGTCCCAAAGCGTCAAAACCTGAAGCCTCATTCAATTGTCAATCCGAACCGATCAGCAATCTTCATCAATCCCCCATAATCAATGCCCAAACTGTTCTAGCCCGTGGTATTCTAGGCTAGAATCGGAACGGTAACCCCTTCTAATCCCAAAGCGTCAAAAACCTGGAGCCCCATTCAATTGTCAATCCGAACTGATTTGCAATCCTCATCAATCCCCATAATCAATCCCCGAACTGTTCTAGCCCGTGGCTCGGGCCGAGCATTGAAAGGGTATGGTGGGAACCCGGAAACAAAGTCCTTGAGATCCTCTGGCGTGAAGTGCACCTTCTCACTGAGAGACCGAGGTTCCACATCTTTGCCCCTGCCCTTGATCGCCGTCTGGTCCTTCTGCAGAAACTTGACTGCACCCAACGATGCCTGGTCTTCCGCAGAGAGCGCGTTGAACGCCTGCAGAACTTCGGTGGGGCAGGCAGCTCGCAGATGCGGGAGTTTTTTGGCCATGAGCCGTTCGCACAGATCATGTTTCTGATCCGCTGACCAAGTCGGGAAGAAGTGCTCCACTGCTGCCCTCACATAGTCCAGCTTGATCACCCCTTTCTTCTTCCCGCTCCCATGGCCCTTCGCCGGCAAAGTGCCGAAGTTGAACACTCGATGCATGTGCTCATACATCTCTTTTCTCAGGAGCACACCATGCTCCAGCGAGCTCTTGACAAGGCCTTCATTGGGGCCCACCCGGGCCATGGCAACACTGAACTCATTTCTGATTGATGCTGGCAGAGCACACGGGTGCGTGAGCTTCATTGGCAGGTGCATCCACTCCGACTGTTCAACGGCGTTGTTGATCATCCAGGTGGGCAGCAATCGCGCATCGGTTGCATTCGGCGTGGACTCGACGACATAGAAGTCCTTCTAAACCATAGACCATGAATGAGTACAAGTTGCAACTTCCTGGTTCACTGACGACGATTAGAAACATAGCAGTATTATCAAGTTCACTGAATAACGGTCCTTGTCTTCAGCTTTGACTTCTTTGAGCACAATACCCAAGGCAGCGTACTCCCGAAACCCAAGGCACAGCACGACGTCCTTGCTGCGGCTGTTCTGGTAGAGGCATCCCAAAGTGAAGAAGCAACCTGTTCATTACGAAGATTCCCAGCCGCCATGGTTATGGGCCAATGGGTTCACAAGCCACGAGGTTTGAAGGTTTATAGCTTGAGGCGGAAAAATCCGGGGAAAGCGAATTTCGTTTTCAACACGAAATCCGCTTTCCCCGGATTGGGGGCTTAGGATGCTTCGGGGCTTGGGGGTTTTGGTACTTAGTGCAGGCACAGACACTTTGGTGCAAAACCCGACATCTTAACTTGTAAAACTTTAAACCCCGAAACTTGAAACCCTAAATCTCGCAACACTAAGTTTACTAAATCCCCGAACCCGATTACTCTCAGCAGTCTGTCTGAGGCACCTGTCCATGCATTCGCAGCATCTGCGAAGTCATTGTGATGGTTCGCTGCCACCCAAGCCGTCGCTGCACTGGCTTTCTGGTTGCTGATGATGCCGGCTTTCTTGGTGCTGCTCAGCTTGCACTTGACGAAGCCCTCACGACGCACCGTTGCATCCAGTGGCTCACCCACTTTGAACGCTTTTCCGTAGCAAGCTTGCTGCTGCTGCGGCGTTTTCTTTTTCATGCTAGCGTGCTCTCGCAAAGATGTTTCCAGCTGCGGCCAGTGGTACTCGGCATTGTTGTTGGCAGTGCTCGGCATGCTCGTCGCGTAGAAGAACCTTGTCCACCTGAGAAGATTCTGACAGACGAACCAGATCCTGAATTATCAGTTTAGTTTAATCGGAACGAAAGGAGTCGCAAAAGGAATTGCCTTCACTGAGTGCAGCAAAGTGCTTGTTGAAGGGGGAAGCCTTGGTGCTGAGCTGGTGAACGGAGGCCAAGTGGGCAAAGCAATCTTCAAGATCGTGTTTTGTGTTCAAGGGCTTGCTGTACATGGACCGGGCCAACTCCTGAACATCTTTGTACTTGGCATTCCAGCTTGCCATGCGGCAAACCACTGCGCATTCCCGGGCGAAGCTTTGACGATTGAAAGCCAAGTCGCCCATGATCGCACCCAAGGATTTGCGGGCAGCAGGGGTGATTCGTCCTGCTGCGTGGAGCTGGACCTCCTCGGCCCGCAGGACCGCGTCCCAAGTCTTTTTCATGCTGTCCATGCAAGCATCTGCGGCGGCCGCATGAGCACTGAGCGAGCCTGCAATCATCTGTGGACAAAGGACAGCATGTTGGACCTGACCCCAAACTCGCTTGGCCACAAGCTCCAGTAAGTAGATCCAGAAGTCTTTCAGGTTCTCCTCAGCAGCATCAAGTCAAGATAGTCAAAGCTCTCCAACCTGACAAGAGAAAGGAGGGCTACTCAAAGTCGAGTTGCCTTCTCGTCCTGGAGCCATTCCTGTGCGTCCAGGACACTCATGTCTGGAAACGCCTGCTCGGGCACTGCAGCTGTGACTCCGCAGGCACGTAGTGCATCAATGTCGTGGATCAGCGCAAGTGTGTCGAGGACGCAGCGGAACCAGCCATGTCCCGTAGCCCTCTCGGCCGCCCACGCAAGGCTGCTCTCCTCGCCATGCCACGATATCCACAGAAACCCGACCCGATCACATCCCAATCCCGACCACTAAACCCTAGCTAAAGCCATGCCAGAGCCGTCCTGCCCCAACTTCTGGTTGCTGAGGAAACTGCGGTACTCGCCGTACAACGGCGAGGCACCCCACTGGATCTGACGAAGCTGCAGGCGCAAGTCACGATCGTGCAGTAGAGCTGCTACCAGTCGCATGGTGTTCTTGTGCTGGCTTTTCAACTCCATCAGAAGCTCACCTTTCGTCTTTGGAGCCGATCGAGCAGCGCCGGGATCGGCCCTTGCACTGCTGGAGGGCTTCTTGTCTTCCTGCTTTTTTTTGTAGCATGCAGCGAAACTAGTGATGCACGCATGGTTCACAGTGTTACTATTTTCTTTTTGACGCCAACGGATGGGTTCTGAAACCTCTAACCTGCGCAACCTCCTCGTCCTCGCTGAAAAGATAGCCTCAACGCAAACCCAGCAACTAGCTATCGCACCAGAACTATAGGGCACATTATCCACCGTCCTCGCCACCAGCATCCTGGTCCTCTGCATCATCATCTGCGTCATCATCGTCGGAGCGGTCTTCGTCGAGTGGCTCTCCGTCCTCAGGCAACAAGCACGAGGATTTGGTTTAGGGTTCTGGATGTTGGGGTATCGGTTTAAGTTCTGGGGCTGGGTCGTGGACCCAGAAGCATTGAATCGGAATTCAGATACTTACACTTTTCTAGCCTAGTCGCAAAGGGCTGTGCACTCAATGTGGACATTGAGATTTGGTCATCGGTCCAAGTTGATATAATAGGTCCCAACAGGTCTAATCATAAAACCAGTCAGTGGTGTATGGGGGCACACAGTTCATAATGTCAAACCGTCAGAAGCCGATTCATGCTATTAGCAGAAGTATAGATGGAGAAATAATAGGCGATTGTTCATTTGGTCACAAGATAAAACCCAGCAATGGCCAATGAACCTGCAAAGCATTTCCCGTAACTAAGTTTAATAAGACCAGAACTCAGAACCCTAAAGCACCAAAAGAGCAAAACTCTACAGCCCTGCAACCCCCTATTCTCTCCCGCTCCGAAAGGAAACAAAGACCGTACACCCTTGCCACGCTCAGACAGTCACTCGCTAAACTAAACTCACGAAACCCTAATCCATTTACACCCTTCACCCCAGTGCAGTGACACTCACGGAAAGGTGTAGGGTTCTTCAATCCCACGTAGTAGACTTAGAGACCTGCTGCGACCAACAAAGCGAGCAACTAGCAACCAAAGCCAAGATCAAACCAATGAATCACCATAAGATCCTGCAGAACAAGCAAGACGAGACTACGATGAGCTTCTCTTGTTTATCCAGTGCCGTCAGCATGCTCTGGAGCTATTATGCAAATTCACTCAAGGGACAGAAAATTTAGCATAAACCCTTCCGCCCAATCACTACAGGGTTCTATTCCGAGATTTTGCATATTTGGGTTATCCGACAGCACCCTAGATTAGATGCACTCACTTTTGCACCGCCAGTCTGACGACACGACTCAAGCCTCCATGCTGCCCTGCACGTGCGGGCTGCTTTGATTCCTGATCCTGTTCTGGCGAGCCACAGACCACACTGACTCTCTTCGGAGCAATGTTTCAACCCCAGGCTCACAGTGTCTCGCGGCTAGGAATCTGGATAAGAAAGCGTAGGCACCATATCACCAACTAACTAAAGGTTTCCCAGGACATTTGCCCACAGGCACTCAACACGCCGCAAATCTGCTGTCTCGATTCCTCGACTGCGTCTGTAAATCTTGCGCAGTTCATCTGCGTCCCAAGCATGACTGGCGATGGCAATGCAGGTGCTGATCAAGCCAACCAACACCATATCCTGGCTGACTGAGAACTGGAGTTCCTTGGCGGGGACCTTCTGCAGCACACCGTGTGCCGAGGCTAGGATGGAATGGGCTGCAGCAAAATCCTGGTTCGAAATCTGCAATAGCGTCCGATATTCATTCTCCAGGGATTCGGCCAGCCAATTTCTGGAACTGAGTTTGATCGCCGTCGTAAACTTTTCGTATTGTTTCTGTCGCCATCGGTATTCGCCAGTTGTGTGCCCCAGCTTCGTCTTCTTTCGGATTCGATGTCGAGGGATTAGTCGGTTATGTTCCCCGGTACGAGCAGACGGTCTGCATGACTTGCACACGTTCCCGGGAGGGCGCCTGAAAGTATTCGCCCCGCAGCGTAAGCACTTCCATCCCATGGCAGCTGCTGCTGTTGTTGCTGTTGTTGTTCTTTTTCTTCTGTTGTTCTTGTTCCTGTTGCTGTTGCTGGTGCCGTTGCCGTTGCCGTTGCTGCTGCTGGTTTCGGGGCTGGCGGCAGGTTCAGAGCATGGGCTTGAGGCCTGAGGGCTCATGGATTATTGACAAGCACAGGAGACATCAGTGATATCAGTACGGTCGAGGCTGCCCGAATATGGGTGCGATTTTGCCTAGTCTGAAGCTGAGAAACCAAGCACTGGTCAATCGATCAAGCCCATTTGTAAGTGATAAGGATTTGAGTAAGTGTAGTTCTTTGATTTGTGGAATTGGGGACTTCGCGTTTGACACGCTGATAATTTGGTCGTTCAGGAGTGCAAGCTTCAGTTCAGCAGGTAGCTTCCGGTCCAAGAAGACTATTAGAAACATCCGGTTCATCCAATCATCCGCCCTCTGAGCCACCCACCCGGCGAAGTACCCCAGGTAAGGGTTTCCGGTTTAGGGTTTGGGTTGCTTTAGGGTTTCGGGTTTTAGGCTTTTGGGCTTAGGGCCTCTTGCGTTAAAGATGATTAGGGCTTTTAGGGTTTCAGTTTAGGGCTTTTCAGCTTTCGGGCTTAGGCCTTTTATGCGCGTAGTGTTGAGGTGTTGAAGCGTTTTTGTTGAGAAAACTTTTAACTCTAGGTCTCAGTCAGTCTTATGTCATGAGATCATTGAACCAAGCAAAAAGGTGCCCCTTCAAAGACGCTGAGAACAACCGTAGACGAGCTTCATCCAATTCCACCAAGTAATCCATGATACCGGAAAGTAATGACCAGTTCCCACATAGCCAATCCATGGCTGCGATCGACCCGAACCATGTTTTGGCTTTCACCTGGGCGGGAAACATTACTTGGTGAGTAGCTGGTTGGATTAGTCGTCCTGATAGTAGTAGTAGAAGAAGTAGCAGAACCCTAAGCCCTTAACCCGCAACCCTAAACCCGATACTAGTAGCAATAGCAGCAGTCGTAGTGTTAGTAATAGTAAAGGAAGTAACGGAAGCCTAAAACCCTTGAGCAAAACCCTAAACCTTAAAGAAAGCAGCACATGGTTAGAGTTCGGTTCCGATTCTATAGGCAATCAAGCAGCCAAGGTGGGGAGGTTACGCACGACACTGAGTTCTGTGATGGAGTCGGGGCTGCTTGGCACCTCTGGCGCACCGTCCTGAATCATGTTTTCCTGCAGCTCCTGGAACTCGTCAAAAGATAAGTTCCTTGCCCAGGATTCCGCCGCCTCCTGCACCATAAACTAACTAGTGACGAGCTAGTTCACGAACCCTGATGAATCAAAACCCTTCTCGTTACTACGGAAGCATAGGTTGAAGCATACTCTCACCCCTCCTGGAAGCTTTGTCGATTCTTTCCAGAACCGTATGGCCCATGGAGAACCCCCACGCAAATAAAGAACTTCAGGTAGGCGATCTGTTTTCCCGATCGGCGGATCCCACCTTTGACCGTGTTCCACATCGGATGGCAGCCTTCGGGTTCGATGAAGACTCGGAGATTTGCTTCGAATCCCAGCATGTAGCACATCTTGAACTGAAGTGATTCTTCGTCGGCCACCTCAGACCCTAGATAATATAGTAACAGTGTTGTAGGCCAACATCAGTGAAAGAAACATCTTTCAAAGCGCCCATGCAAGCTGAGGCACAATGCACATGTGCGGTCGATCATTGAGCTGTGGGGGTGTCAGATACTCCGGTAGGGGCTGCCCTGGAACGAGGACCTCCTCTGGTTTCCTTGGCTACTTAGTTTGGGACGACTGTCTAAGTCTAAATCACCTCATTATCATTAGTCATTTCTGCACAATCAACCAATCTCGAAAGCTACCAGCGCGGCCGGGGTTCAACCACGTAAGGTCGTGGCCTGTCAGTGCCAGCATCGACGTGTTCAGGCCCTTGGCCAAGGCCTGTGTTCCAACCGTAAGCAGGCTCGGGGTGTAGAGTGATTCTTCTAGGCTCGCGCGCACACCGTAGCCAAGGGCTTGATTCTATGGTCGTACTGGAGGCGTTAACCATTTCCAAACTTGATTGTAACCCAGCACTGCTACAGCGGCACACGATGCGACGAGATGCTAAGCAGCCCAGGATCGTCTTGCGGCCCTTGAACGGAATCTCTTCTGGAGGGTCGAGGGCGTGGTCGGTACCGAAGTTCCTCTGGGTTGAGGTAAGTTAGTTACTAAGGATGCTGTTGCTCAAGATCAACAGTTTCGAATTGTAATGTCACACATGCGACTGCGAAGAAACCCCAGCTAAGCTAGAGCACCGTACAGCTTCCGAAGTGCGACGCCGGTCCTCTCCAGGTGGGAGTCCATCGAACATGCCGTGGCTGGCAGTGCCTCGGATAATAGAAACTGCGTAACTTATGATTCTAATTTGCCACGAGCACTCGAGCTCTCATCCACAGAAGCAGCAGCGAGTGCTGCAAGTGTCAGCAGTTCTCAACATTGTATCTTTTTTGCCGACTTCAGCACGTGCTGTGGGCTCTGGTTGAGTCGAGGCCCCCAGCGGTCTTTGTGTGAGAGGTTAAAAAAAGACTTGTGCGAGCAGACCTCCAGAATGAATCTTGAATCTTCCTCCGAAGCACCGACACGGGTTTCAGAGGACGCGGAAAGAATCTACAGGCATGCCTGTACATAGGCTGCCTATCTGGAGCGCACACATCCTTAGGCAGGCTGACTACCAGGTTACCAGAGGCCAGAGCGATTCAGCCTCGATGACGGATTCGAGGATGCAGTCGTGCTGGCCGCGTCCTCCTGCATGGGCTCGTGCTGCAGCGTGGTGTGTCCTGGACGCAGGGCACGCGGGATTTAGGCTTCAGTGTCACTCGGTTTAGGGTCTGACCTAAGAATGTCATGTAAGGCCTCGGAGTTATGGCTTGAAGGTTCTGGGGGAAAAGGTTTTGAGTTGAGAGCTGCTTGAGGTCCGAATCAATTGTCGACTATTCATTTGAGGCCTCGGAGTTATGGCTTGAAGGTTCTGGGGGAAAAGGTTTTGGTTGAGAGCTGCTTGAGGTCCGAATCAATTGTCGACTAGTTATGTCTAAGATTACGATAACAAAAATTGAATGCACTTAACCCCTCAATCCTTATCCCTACACCCTCTCAAACCCTCAACCTTCGGAACACCCAAGCCCAAATAAATGAAGCCCTTCCCCATATATACATTCAACCAAAACCTTCACACCCCTAAACTTCTTACGCCCTCAAATCGCCGAGTCTGGTTTTGCTAAAGGTGAATGAATTGAATGGGCTGCTGGCTGGAGTCTAGATTGATTGATTAGCAGCGAAAGTGAGAACCAGGTAACCAATCACGCAGACCTAGGACCTAGAGTTACTCAGATACTTCTTCGGATTATGCCGCGAGGAACCGAACCAGAGAGATACCTCGTGAGCGATTTTGGTTTCACGCCTTCGGTCGATGTGGTGTGACGGTCTGACAGCAAAACTGCAACAACCATTGGTCAGTAATGCTGACTCTTGGTGTTTCAGATGATACAAAGCTCGGTTCAGTGAAGTGAGAACTGAGCTCGCAAAGAACCACTCAGGGACCTTCGTTCATTTTGCCGTTGCTTGTCTCCCCCGCAGCAGGCTTCTGATTCTGCTTTGCCTCTGGCGTCATTGGCATGCCACGGCTGGTCGGACGGGGCGGTGTGATCAGGCTCCATGCACGAACTTCCACCATGTCCGGAAGATCGGATGACACCTTTGCACGCTTCCGCTTGTTGATCCGCGGGGGTGTCTGTAAGTCGCCAGCCTCGGGCGGGGAAGGGTGCGCACGCCTGATCTTCTCTGGCGGTGTCGTTTGATCAGCAGAGGACGACATGGCGGCTGAAGGCACAACACGTGAGGTAGTAGTAATGCGCACTTGACTCGACTCGCACGGCTGCTGTAGCACACAGCAGAAATCAGCATTGCACACATTCCAGAATTCCAGACCTTGAACCCCGAAACCGGCCTAAATCCTAGCCCGACACCCCAAGCCCTACGAGTGAACCCTCAGGCAAAACCAAAAGCCCGCAAACCCTGAGGCCCTGCATCCTAACCCGGCATGCCGTCGTTGTACTCGTGGTCTTCTCAAATTTAGCTACTGCCCGGCCTTCTGAAGGAACCGTGCTGGATCCCCAGTCCCCATACCAATCGCCGTCGTTGTACTCGTTGTAGTCGGTGTGACCTAGTGTAGAGGCAAACCCCGGAAAAAAAAAACAATAGGCTGCTCCGCCTGACGCTAGCTTAGGTGCGACAGACAGCTGACGAGAGCATCATGACCTTTGCTGGATGATATTTTCGGGACTTGGCCGCGATTGATTGATTTAAATTTAGGCTATTACTATTAGAGCTTGAATTGAGGTCTCCACAGAAGTTTCTGATCAGTGGCTACCCCAGCCTGAGAAAAGGGCCTGGAAACAATGTGCTGCAAACTGGATTCTGAACCCCGTTAAACAAGCCCCTGCGCGGTAGCCAAAAACAAAAACGCCAGTGAGTGCTGTTTCGCAGGCCTAGAATGTAAGGTGCCAGCACAGTTGCTCCTGCTCAAAAACAACGGAGTAAGCAGTTAAGCAGATGTTGGTGATACACAATCTCAGAACCCCGGATACTCCTACAACCCCTTCCGCTAACTAGTTAGTTTTGGACTAGCTGATGAAGCTTCTCAAGAAAAGCCTGTTTGCAAACCTGTTCTCAGTCATTCTGAGTCTGAGTTCCCGCAGGCTTCGACGAACCCCGAACTTGCAGTTACAGTTACAGAGTACTGTAGATGCAGATTAACTTACATTTTGAATATGCAACTGCGTAGTGTGTAGATTTCTCTGTTTGACTGAGTTAGAACTGTTAGAAGCCTAGCAGCGATATCCTGATCAGGCCACAGAAGCCACTTGTTGCTTAGCCCTACGTGAAATCCAACCACGAGGCCCGCTGCCCATGCGCCCGACGTGTCAGCCCAGCTGGCGGAACCTTTGGTTTGGAGCACCCGGCTTTGCATCCAAGCAATCGCGGGGTGGGGGAGGGGTTCAGAGGTTTAGACTCTATAGAAGTTTGTGGCAAAGGCCATGCGGCTCTGCCGCTACAGCTATACTGTACCATGGCCCGAACAGCAGACGATGCTCGTGATTCTACGACGGTTCTTACTACGACCTGGAATTAATTAGGTAGTTAGGAAGCTTCTTGAATCTGAATCCCCGACCACAGGATACATCGAAGTGCCAAGAGAAACCACAAGCTCCAGGCCTATTTTGTTGTACTAAAACCTGATTTGCACGATTGACTCAAATTAATCTATTTCGGATCCGAATCATCCATTCACGGGTGACGAGATACCCAACACCTTTGTTATTAATCTAACAATAATAGCTATGGGAGACCTTGTAAAAAAAATTCTATCGGAGACAGCTCTGCTCTGATTGCAGCAGGCAGGGGCGGCTCAGCGTAGGTCTCGACCATACCCAGTTTGTAAGTATTTGTTTTATTTTATATAAGTCATATTCTAATTTAGGGACCACGTGTGCTGGCCTAGCCTACTTGGCTCTGCCTACAGAAGCCCCAACAAGCATCTGTTTAAACCTTCTCTAAGACCCCCATTTCGGTTTTCATGAACCGTAAAGTTAAACTAAATACCCGAATCCTAGTCTTCTTTTTTTTGTGCTGATGTCTGCAAGTCCTCTGTACACTTTGGACGGGAGTTCGAAGTTGACACAGTCAATATATGGATCCTTGCGTTGCATCGGCCCCCATTGATCAGAGATGGTACGAGCCCTCACGACACGTGGCATAATTCAAGCAATTGCTATTCCCTGGTCTGTCGGGCGCAACCATGGCAGCAACCTGTAGCCGCTTCGTTGGGATGGGTCCAGCAACGAAGTTGCAGACAAAATGCCCGGACTAGATCATGCGTGCCAGCCATTAATAGTCGGCATTGTTGGCCAAGACTCACACGGGCACAAGCCAGCCACTTCATCCAAACCTGAAAATGAATCTGGCGGCCTGTGCTGTGCCGTGCGACCTGCCAGCCCATGGCTGGAAGCAAGGTGCCGCGCCGACTCAACGTCGTCGTCTCCTTGCCTTCACTCAAATCCAACAGCATGATGATGGAGATTTTCGAAACCAGCCCAGCCGACCCAGCCCAAAAGCATTGACATCCCCACCAGCCCCAAGCCCAGCCCCAGCCGCAGCCCACAATGAATCACAGAATCACAGCCCAGCCCTGCCCCGACTGCACCCAGAGCTTGAAAGGAGGCGTGTGCAGCACAACATAACAGCGTGTCTTTGTTGCCGGGTGCTAGGAACGCGCGGGGGTCTCGCGTGGTGTCTTTCGGAATGAGATATAGACCAAAAGCGTGTCCAGTCCGGGTGAGGTTACCACCGTGCCGCAGCGTGTTCCGGAGCGGTTACCAGACCATCCGAGGAGCGTGCTACGTATGCGGAACGCACCCCCGCGAACCGTCGCGGCATTGCGCCGTGGTGCTGCGCCGCGGCGCTGCGCCGCAGAGCGTGTTCCGGAGCGGGTTACCAGGTCCTCCTATTGGGGGAGGACTAGGTAACCCGCTCCGGAAGGCACCGCCGCGCACCTGGCGCGCAGCTGGCGTGCGGCAGCGCGGCGGGGCGTGTTCCGGAGCGGGTTACCAGGTCCTCCCTACTGGGGGAGGACTAGGTAACCCGCTGCGGAAGGCACCGCCGCGCACCTGGCGCGCAGCTGGCGCGCAGCAGCGTGGCGGGGCGTGTTCCGGAGCGGGTTACCAGGTCCTCCCTACTGGGGGAGGACTAGGTAACCCGCTCCGGAAGGCACCGCCGCCCAGCTGGCGCGCAGCAGTCCTCCGGGGCGTGTTCCGGAGCGGGTCACCACGTCCTCCTATTGGGGGAGGACGTGGTAACCCGCTCCGGAAGGCACC